AATTTCTTCACTGATACTGCTCCTAGGGCAATGGAAACTAAAGAGGAAATAAACAAATGGGGCTACATCAAAATAAAAAGCTTTTGCACAGCAAAGGAAACCATCAACAAAACAACAAGAAAGCCCACTGCATGGGAGAACATATTTGCCAATGTTATCACCAATAAGGGTTTAATCTCCAATATTTACAGGAAACTCAAAGAACTTAACAAAAGGAAGATAAACAACCCAATCATAAAATTGGAAATGGACCTAAATAAATATTTTTTGAAAGAGAACATAAGGAACGACAAGAGACATATGAAAACATGCTCAAAGTCACTAATCATCTGAGAGATGCAAATCAAAACAACAATGTGGTACCATCTCACACCTGTCAGAATGGGCAAACCAGCTGGCCCCCACCTGTGTACCAGGCCTCTATCCTATATAGTAAAAGGGTAATATGCAAACTGACCCTAACAGCAGAAAGACTGGGAATGACTGGTCACTATGACACACACTGACCACCAGGGGGCAGACGCTCAATGCAGGAGCTGCCCTCTGGTGGTCAGTGCGCTCCCACATGGGGGAGCTCTGCTCAGCCACAAGCCAGGCTGATGGCTGCCAGTACAGCGGTGGTGGTGGGAGCCTCTCCTGCCTCCTCAGCAGCACTAAGGATGTCTAACTGCAGCTTAGGTCTGCTCCCTGCTGGCACGTGGACATCCCCCGAGGGCTGCTGGGCTGCCAGAGGGATGTCTGATTGCCATCTTAGGCCCAATCCCCCGGGGAGCAGGCCTAAGCCAGCAGGTGGTCATCCCTCTAGGGGTCCCAGACTTGGAGAGGGCACAGGCCGGGCTGAGGGACCCCCCCAAGTGCACAAATTTTTGTGCACCAGGCCTCTAGTTAACTAATATTAACTAATATTCCTCTAATATCAAGGATATAACTCTCACCACTCTTATTCCACATGGTGCTGGAAGTCCTAGCCAGAGCAATAGGGCAAGAGAAATAAATTAAATGCATCCAAATAAGGAATGGAGAAGTAAAACTCTCACTTTTTGTGGATGACATAATGCTGTATATAGAAAACCCTAAAGACTCTACCAAAAAAAAAAAACTATTTGAAACAATAAACAAATACAATCAAGTTGCAGGATACAATATTAATGTGCAAAAATCTACTTCCTTCCTGTATACTGACAACAAAACTTCATAAAAATGAATTTTAAAAAAATCCTTTTTCAATTGCAACCAAAAAAAAATAAATTACCTAGGAACAAACTGATCAAAGGACGTGAAAGACCTATATACTGAAAATTACAAAGCATTATTAAAAGAGATTGAAAAAGGCGCAACAAAATGGAAAAGTATGCTATGTTTATGGATTGGAAAAATCAACATAGTTAAAATGGTCACATTACCCAAAGCAATATACAAATTTAATGCAATCCCCATCAAAATCCCAATGTCATTTTTTAAAGACACAGAATTATAAACCATCATATTTGCATGGGATCACAAAAGACTCCGAATAGACAAAGCAATCTTGAGAAAAAAAGAACAAAACTGGAGGTATCACACTATCTGACTTCAAATTATACTACAGAGCTATGATCATCAAAACAGCATGGTATTGACAGATAACAGACACACAAAAAATGGAATAGAATAGATAGCTGAGCTATGAAACCACATGTATATGGACAGATAATTTTGACAAAGGAGCCAGAAACTTCAAAAATGGTGCTGGGAATATTAGAAAGCCACATACAAATGAATGAAACTAGATTAGTTTTCCCCCATGTACAAAAATTAATTCAAAATGGAACAAAGATCTAAATATATTCCTGAAACACTAAGTTACATAAAAGAAAATATAGGTACCAAACTTATGGACCTTGATAATAGAGAACATTTCGAATGTAACCACAAAGGTAAGGAAAGTAAAGGCAAAAGTAAGTGAATGGGACTATATAAAACTAAAAAGCTTCTGCACAGCAAAAGAAACTGACAACAAAACAAAGAGGCGGCCAATCATATGGGAGGTATTTGCAAATAGTAGCTATGACAAAGATTTAATTTCAAAAATATATAAAGAACTCATAAAACTCAACACCAAACAAAAAACCACCCAATAAGAATTGGGCAAAAGGCCTGAAAATACACCTGTTCCAAGAAGACATACAAACAGCCAATCCTACATAATAAAATGCTAATATGCAAATCAACTGAACGGCGGAATGACCTGTCGTTATGATGCGCACTGACCACAAGAGAGCAGATACTCAACGCAGGAGCTGCCCCCTGGTGGTCAGTGGACTCCCACAGGGGGAGTGCTGCTCAGCCAGAAGCCAGGCTCGTGGCTGGTGAGCGCAGTGGCAATGGCAGGAGCTCTCCCACCTCTGCAGCAGTGCTAAGGATGTCTGAATGATGGCTCTGGAGATCGGGCCTAAGCCATCAGTCAGATATCCCCCGAGGGCTCCCAGACTATGAGAGGGCACAGGCTGGGCTGAGGGATCCCCCCAGTGCACAAATTTTGTGCTCCAGGCCTCTAGTAGATATATGAAAAGATGTTCAACCTCACTGGAAATTAGGGAAATGCAAATCAAAACTACAATGAGATACCACCTCACACCTGTTAGAGTGGCCATTATCAACAAGACAAGCAATAACAAGTGTTGGAGAGGTTGTGAGAAAAAGAGAACCCTTATTCACTGCTGGTGAGAATGTAGACTGGTGCAACCACTATGGAGAGCAGTCTGGTGATTCCTCAAAAAATTGAGAATAGAGCTATCATGCAGCCCAGCAATTCCTCTCCTGTGTATATACCAGAAAAGCTCAAAATCATGTGTTCGCAAGGATGTATGGACCCCTATGTTCACTGCATCATTATTCACGGTGGCCAAGACATGGAAACAACCAAAGTGTCCAGTGATAGAGGACTGGATAAAGAAGATGTGGTACATATACACAATGAAATACTACTCAGCCATAAGAAATAGCACCATTTGCAACACTATGGATGGACCTTGAGAACATTATGCTAAGTCAGTCAGAGAAAGCTAAGAATTATATTATTTCACTCATGTGTGGGATATAAAACTGAAACTCGTGAGCACAAACAGTAGTGTGGTGGTTGCTAGACAAAAGGGAGTCGAGGGGTGGAAGGGGGTCCTAATATATGGTGTCAGGAGAAGATTTGACTTTGGGTGGTGGGCACACAGTGCATTATACAGATCTTTCAACATAGAAACCCACAGCTGAAAACTGTACGTATATATTGACCAGTATCACCCCAATCAATTCAGTAAATAAGTATTTTTTAAAAGTAGATTAAAAAAGATTGAGGCTGGGTGTGTTTTTGAGCACTCATACCATAGAGGGTGCTCTCAGGCCAGGTGGGGGGAAGCTTCAGTGAGGTTTTTCCAGCAGTTCATGAGCAGGCTTCTTCCTGGAGTTCAGAATGCACTCAGGGAAAATTGTGTTCCTTTAGTGCACTTTGATATTTTGTCTGCCTCTTTCCTGATCTCCTTCCTCCCCCTAGTTATATAGATCCCACTTCAGAACTTGGGGTATTGTGGGAAAGAAATGAGTTTCTCCTACACAACAGGAGAGCAGCACTCACTTACCACTCACTTCCCCTCACGGGAGAGGTCACTGCTGGATAGTTCAGCCCCACCTTGTGAGAGGAGCAATCCAGGCAAGGTTCCCCTTACCCTCTTCAATGCATTTAACTGTTATTTTATTTGGAAGGGAAGTTCTCCAGTGAAGTGCTGAAACATCTTTGGGAACCTGGGCTTTTACAAAGACTCTCTCCATTGGGGTCTCACCAAGTCAATGTTCTCCAGGTGTTACCTGACAGTGTCCAAAAGAGGCTGAGGCTAGTTCACAATTTCCAGCTGGTTCCACCACTCTTTCTGTGGTCTGTCTGCATACTGGCCAGTGCACAGAATGATGAAGGTTTCTGGTTTCCTGTGCATATGGTGACAGATCACACTGCTCCAGCAAACATTTTTGTTCAAGGGGGATGCAAAATTTTAGTTGTTGAAATTGGGGGACAAAAAGGAGAGATGTGATATGCAACCGTGGTACTGATACAATCTCATCCCCGTTCAACATTGTATTAGAAGTTCTAGCTTGAGCAATTAGGCAAGAAAGAGAAATAAATGTATCCTAATTGGAAAGGAAAAAGTAAAACTATACCCACTCACAGATGGCTATTAGAGCTAATAAATGAGTTTAGCAACTTGTAGGATGGAATATCAATACATAAAAATCAGCTGCATTTCTCAACACAAGCAATGAAGAACTTGAAAATAACATTAAGGAAAACAATTCCATGTAAAATTGCATCAAAAAGAATAAAGTAATTAGGAATAATTTTAAAAAATATATTCTTATTGATTTCATAGAAGAAGGGAGAGGGATAGAGAGATAGAAATATTAATGATGAGAGAGAATTACTGATTGGCTGCCTCCTGCACACCCCACACTGAGGATCGAGCCCATAACCCAGGCATGTGCCCTGACTGGGAATCGAACCCTGATCTCCTGGTTCATAGGCTGATGCTCAACCACTGAGCCACGCTATCCAAGGTAGGAATAATTTTAACCAAAGAAGTGCAGCAGTGTACACTGAAAATTACAAATTATTGTTGAAAGAAATTTTCATGCTATTGCCATTTGAAATTTATGTAAGATTTAGAATCCAGTTGTTAATTTCTATAAAAAATGAGCCAACTGAAATTATTATTTAGAATCAAAGATCAAGTTAGGGGAAAATGAACATATTTAAAATGCATGGAAAATCTTGTAGAAAAAACAGAGTTTGATGATTTACCGAAATCAAGATATTTTATAAAGTAATAATTAAACCAATTTCCTATTATTACAAATATACAAAAATCTAACAATAGAATAGAAGAGTACAAAAAGAGATCCACACAAATACTTCTCTGGTGGATGGGGGCGGGGGTGAAGTAATTGAGCAAAAAAGAAAGAAAGAACTCATGAAATAGACAACAGTTTGGAGATGAGGGGTAGGAGAAAGGTGTGAGAGGGTATGAGGGGGTAAATGGTGATGGAAAAAATTTTTAAAGAAAAGAAAAATAAATAAAATATAATGATGCTGTAGAAAATTATTAATGACATGAGAAAAAGCTTACGGCACTATCAAATGATGAAAGTAACTGAATATACATGTATGAAAACCATTGCTAAAGAGCTGAAAATGATACATACCTTTTGGGACAGCAAGGTAATATGGTAGTTTATGTTATATTCTGTATTATTAACATTTTCTAAAATAAATTGCTTTTATAATCAAAATAAAATAAAGTAAAATGCAGAGTCTTCCAATCCATACCCAGTGTATAATTCTCTTTTTATTTAGCTCTATGCTAATTTCTTTCAATATTTCTGTAGCTTTCTTTGTGCAGTCTTGCACATCTTTTGTTCATTCTAATCCTCAATTTTTGATGATTTTTAAAATAATGCCAATATTATTTTCATTTTATATTCTTCTTGTTGCTAATACTTATAAATACAAATCACTTTGTATTTATATATATTAATGTCTAATTTTATGTGTCAAGTGGACTGTATTACAGGGTTGCCAGATATTTGGCTAAACAATATTTCTGGGTGTGTCTGTGAAGGTGTTTCTGGATGAAATTATCATTTGAGTAGGTGGACCAATAAAGCAGTTTGCCCACCCTAACATGAGTTGGCATTATCCAACTCGTTGAGGGCCTGAATAAAACAAAAAGTCAGCCTTAGATGGTTTGGCTCCATGGATAGAGCATCAGACTATGGACTGAAGGGTCCAGGCTTCGATTCTGGTCAAGGGCACATGCCCGGGTTGTGGGCTCTATCCCCAGTGTGGGGCATGCAGGAGGCAGCCGATCAATGATTCCTCTCATCATTTGATGTTTCTCTCTCTCTCTCTCTCTCTCTCTCTCTCTCTCTGTGTCTCTCAAATCAATAAATATATATTTTTTAAAAGTCAGAGGAAGAAAAAATTCAACCATTCCTGCATAATAGCTTGAGCTAGGACATCAATCTTCTTCTGCCCTTGCCTGACCTGATTCTCAGACCTTTGGACTCAGTCTGAATTACAACCAGCTTTCCTGAGTCTCCACTCAGTTTGCCATTGGCAGATCTTGTAACTTTTCAATCTTCCTACTTGCCCGAGTGAATTTCTTATTTTAAAAAATCCCTTCCTATGTAAATAGACACTTTTCGAAAGAGGACATACAGAAGGCTGGGAGACATATGAAAACATGCTCAAAGTCACTAATCATCTGAGAGATGCAAATCAAAACGACAATGAGGAACCATCTCAAACCTGTCAGAATGGCTATCATCAACGAATCAACAAATGACAAGGATGCAGAGAAAAGGGAACCCTCATGCACTGCTGGCGGGAATGCAGAGTGGTGCAGCCACTGTGGAGAACAGTATGGAGTTTCCTCAAAAAGTTAAAAATGGAACTTCCATTTGACCCAGTAATCCCACTTCTAGGAATATATCTCAAGAAAACAGAAACACCAATCAGAAAGGATATATGCACCCCTATGTTCATAGCAGCACAATTCAACATACCTAAGATTTGGAAACAGCCTAAGTGCCCATCAGCAGATGAGCAGATTAAAAAACTGTGGTACCTCTACACAATGGAATACTACACTGCTGTAAAAAAGAAAGAACTCAACATTTGCCACAGCATGGATAGACCTGGAGAGCATTATGTTAAGTGAAATAAGCCAGTTGGAGAAAGATAAGTATCACATGATCTCACTCATTTATGGAATATAATGAACAACATAAACTGATTAACAAAAGTAGATACAGGGACATAGAAGCATCTAACAGACCATCAAACCTCAGAGGTAAGGCAGGGGATAAGTGGGGGGAAATAGATCAACCAAAGAACTTGTATACATGCACACAAGCATAACCAATGGACATAGACACTAGGGAGGTGAGGACATATGCTGGGGGGCAGAAGTGGGCAGGGAGAGGTCAATGGGAAGAAAAGGAAACATATATAACACTTTAAACAATAAAAAAATTAAATTAAAAAAATCCCTTCTTATATATCCAATTCATTCTGTTTCTCTGGAGAACCCTGACCAATACATATATGGAACTTATATCTGGCAAATGTGCTAAGTTTATTTATTAATTCCAATAAATTACTTGTAAATGCTTTTAGAATTTCTAAAGACACAACTGTATTATGTGTAAATAATGAAACACAAATTCCTTCCTTTTCATTGTTTGTAAGATCTATTTATTTTTCTTGCCTTAATTTATTGTCTGGAAATATCCAGTAGAAGGTTGACTAGAAATTGAAATACAAACAACCCAGTCTCATTTCTGGTCTCAAAATCTTTCAGTATTCCACCATTGATATGCCATGTGTTGAAAGTTTTTTTAAAAAAATCTTTGTCAGATTAAGTAATTTTCATCCAATTCTAGTTTTCTAAGAATTTTGCACATGAATTAAGTGTGGAATTTTATCAAAGATTTTTTTATAACTCTATTGTGATGATCATATATTCTATTTTTCTGTTAATGGGATTAATTATATTACTGCTTTTTAAGTTAAACTATTCTTCCATTCCTAGAATAAACCCAACTTTTTTGTGATATATTTTCCTTATAAACTCTGGATTTATATTGCTAATATTTTCCATAAGATTTTTGCAAAATTCACAAGAGATTTGGTCTATGGCAGTCCTTTCTTGTAATGTCCTTGATGGTTTTAGTATCACGTTTACAATGGCCTCATAAAACAAGTAGGGAAATGTGTCATTCCTTCCTTTTCTAATTTCTGGAGGAGTTCAAGTAAGATTAGTGTGTTATTTTTCCTTAAGTATTAGGTAGAATTCATTGTGAAGAATTGAGAGATATTAAAAAATTCCAATTTCTTTATTATTCATAAGAGTATTGGGATTTTGTGTATTTTCTTGAAATTGGTTTTGGTTAGTTGTATTTTTACGTATTTTTTTCATTTTATAGGAATTATCAATTTTATTGTTAACTAGAGGCCCAGTACATGAAATTCGTGCATGGGGGGTTGTGTGTCCCTCAGCCCAGCCTGCACCCTCTCCAATCTGGGACCCCTCGAGGGATGTCTGACTTCCCTTTTAGGCCCAATCCCAATCCCTCTCACAATCCAGGACTGCTGGCTCCCAACCGCTCACCTGCCTGCCAGCCTGATTGCCCCTAACCGCTTCTGCCTGCCAGCCTGATCACTCCCTAACCACTCCCCTGCCAGCCTGATCGATGCTTAAATGCTCCCCTGCTGGCCC